GTGGGTTACTTACTATCTTACAATCTTAAGTTTTAGCACTTGGTAGTGATTTTACTTTTCAAGCACCATAATAAAAGTTTTAAGTGGTACATTTCTAACCAAAGATTCATTCAGAGGTGGAATTTTACTTGAGATATTACAGTGGATTTTGAGTACCTCCCCCCACAAATATAAGAAACAGAAGCATGCCAACCTAAGATATTATTATTTCTTAATTTTTACAAAGGGAAAAATAACAGGGTTTCCAGAATTCAGCCTAAAATTTAGGCTATCCAATATAGTGAGAAGAATTTGTCTTGCTTACAAGAAAAAGAGAAAGAATGTCTTTCTCTGTCCTTCAAGTGCAGAGAGTCTGAGCAAAGCAGATTCAGAGCCCGCGGAGGGAGGGCCGGGCCCAGCTGCAGCGGTCGCACGTGGGTGAGGGAGCGAACCGGCAGTCGCGCGCACGTCGGTGCGTGAAGCAGTGGGGACAGAGAGAAATAGGGGAAAGCACAGGACATAATAGAGAAGAAGGACATTCTCAAAACATGTTCCACCTGAGAGGTAATTTGCTGTGAGCTGTAAATCCCCTGGGTGCTTTATGCCTCCGTACTTGTTTTCAGAAGGCCGGAAGAGGAGGGCAATAAATCATTCCCCTCTGCCCCCTCCCAGTTCTTTATGGACTTTTAAGCAGGCTTCTCCCAGAGTTAAATTCCTGGTTCAGCCGCCCCAGGGTCTAGGTGACCTTCTCCTTTTTCTGGCTTGCCCAGGAAGTTCAGGGTGAAGGTGTTTCTGTTTTTCTGAAAATTCTTCTTTTATGCTGGGTAATAGGACAGGTATCTTGGGTTCATTATCGCCCAGGCAGGAGTTAAAATAGCAACATCTCCATCATCTTGCTGTGGATTAGTTCGGTGGTCACAGCAGGCTTCTGGTGAGGCTCACGGGGGCCTGGGGTTGAAGCTGGTGTGCTAGGTGGCAGGCAGTGTAGGTGACAGGCATGTTGCAGCTAAGGGTGTGCCTTTGGTGTCAGAAGGGCCTGTCGGGCTAGTCCTTACTGTGGTCCCAGTGCACGTTACTTACCCTTTCCCAGCATGCTCACCTCACAGCGTGGGCTGGTAGCCCCAGCTCAGCTTCGTGAGGCTAAGGCAAACACAGTGAGCGAGGCGCACATCTCCGTGCTGCGGCGTGCGTCGCGTGCCCAGTGAAAGGGGGTGGGCACGGTCATCGTCATTTGTGTTACCTCCAAAGCTTTGAGTAAGAGCTTTAAATGATTGGCTTGTAAAACTACATCGCCAGTCTGGGACGGAGCGGGCTCTCGAACGCAAACCTGTGTAACCCCCAGACCACACCGTACAGCTGGTTTGCGAGCAACTCTGCCGCCTGCATGTGGTGTTCTGCTCATGTACAGCTCGAGTTCGTCCTTACGTACAAACGGTTTATATAGTAGGTCCCTGAAGTGTTTCAGAGCATCAAAAATAGTCCTTCCAGCTCTTATAAACTGATTCTCTCCTAAACTTTATTTATAAATTGGTTGTTTGAAACTCAGAATGGATATTCCCCTAGGAACTGGTAGTTATGTTCTCAGGCGAATTCATAAAAGCCTCCTTGGCCTCTTCTACTCCTCCCTGTCCAGCGCCTGATATGTTAACCCAGGGGCTTTCAAATGGACACCCCATCAGAATGGCCGAGAAGCTTTATAAAAATAGAGGATCACGCCTCAGACGTTCCGAATTGGAATCTTCAGGTGAACGTGCTGGATGCATCTCAGCAGAATCAAAGCGAGCTCAGAACTGTGAGACACGGCAGAGCCTGAGGCGTCAGCGAACCCAGGAGAAGACCACTCTGGCCGGAGTAGAGACTGGTTGTCTCTCTTGACCTCTAATATATAATATTCATTTTAAAATAAATCGTGGGTGTGTACTTCAATAAAATTGGCGTTAATATAGATGTTTTGAAGAGGTGAGGTAGAAAAAGAACCAGTTTTCTGCCCTTCCCAGAGCGCAGGAGCTGGGACGGGCAAGGGGGGGGGCGGGGGGGCGCAGACCGAGACCCCGCCCCACAGAGCCCGGCCAGCCTTCCTCTCTTCATCCTGCCTGCAGTGGGAAGCAGTGAAAAAGTCAGGAAGGGGAATAATGTCAGATTTGCATGTCGAAAAACGATGGGCTGAATTTAGCCAAATAGGAGGCATTGGACAGACAGAGGATAGGTGATAGGTGTGTGGTGGAACAGGACCCCAAATTAGCTAAACACTCAGAAGAATTGGTGTTTCTGACTTGGCATACCCTTCAGGTGCACACTTACATTAAGTGTATTTAACTTAAGGAGAGCAATCCCTATATTGCTCTTGAGGTAATAGGTTGTTTCCATTGTCATAATTCTTGATGTCTTTGTGTTCCTTTAATTAAAACCGCAGTCCCTACGATAAAATCAATTTTGTCATGGAATACGGTTTCAGGAACTGTAACCATCTATTTCCTGTGTGTCATAAATAATAGGAGTTTCCTGTCAGCCCCCCTGTTTCTTCCTCCTCTGCTCTTTTCCTGCCTGCTTTCGCTCCGTGCCAATCACAGGTGGACGCTCAGTATCACCCCACAGCGCAAGATAAACAAGCTTGGAAGGTTTCCTAGCAACATATTGTTCTGGGAACTCGTTCTGTTTCCCTGAGCAAGCTGAAGCCAGACATCCTAGAACCTCGGCCAGATGGGGAAGGATTAGCTTATTGACGGTGTTCAGTGTGTTTTTAAGGAATTTCACTTGGAAATGAACCTCTTAACATAAGTAGCAAGGTTGACTTTTAAAAGGACACTCTTTTGCTTTTAAAAACATCTCAGTACATGTTTGAATATTAAAATATGTGCCTTGAGAAGAAATTCTCCAGAAGCAAGCTTGCCATATGAACTGAGTCACTGGTGAGCGGATCCATGTAGAAGCAAGTAGAAGATCCTCCCCCCCAGGCCCGGTGTGCAGCCTGGTACCCCTGGTCCCGATGTGCGGTTTCGGAAATAGTGAAATGCTCATGATCTGTGGGCAAACCGCAACTGGGGTAGGCCCTCCTCCCCTGGTCCCCGTCCCTGGGGTTACCCATGAAACACCTGTCCCCGCTCAGAACTCGCAGACTTCCTCCCTCTGTCCCTCCGTGCTAGTGATTGCCGCTTCAAATTGAGTCCCCCCCACCCCCGCAAGCGTATGATTGATACATACAGAGAAAAGAAATCTAGAAGGAATTGAGGCCCTTCTCAAGGTCAGAGAAGTGACATCTTATCCCATGATCATGTAGAATGTCCTTGTTCGTCTGATGACCTTGGGGCCCCACGGTTGGCAGGTGCCGCCTTTTTGCTGCCGTGCGTGTGGTCGGTCACAGTGTGTGGGTGCAGTTCCCTGGAGACGATACAGCAGCGGGTTAGCGTTCTCACGACAGCCGTGGACAGAGGCTCTGCAGTTCAGCCACACCCTGGGGCTCGTCCGACTTCTTGCTGGACTGGGAGACAGCCCCCACCGGCCGGGTGAAGACTGTCCTGGTGGCGTGGGATGCCTTACCTGTCCGCCCGGTTCGGCCCGGGTCTGGGAAGCTTCCCGGGGGTGGTGAGAAGCAGATCGTTCTGCCCTTGGCAGTGCTCCTGGGTGGGAGGGGCAGAGCAGTGACCCTGGACGGTTGGCTCTGCTTCGGTTTTTTGCTTTTTTGGTTTTTAACAAATTTCTCTGGCCAGATTCCAGAGAATGAAACCTTCCTCAACCCGGAAAGCTGCATGACAACTTCACATCTGTTCCGGGTGCTGTCCATTCTCTCTCGCGGTCACACACACACGCGCGTGCGCGTGTGCACGCTCACGTTTTCTAAACTCCTTATTTCGAACTTGACGAGGAGCAGTCTGCTGAGAGCGTCGGCGGGGCCCCCCCAGCAGACACCGCGACAAACGCGCGGGGACACCAGCCCTCACCCTTGCCTCCCGGGCCCCCGAGAACTCGGCCGAACAGCACGTCTGGACTCCTCTAAAAATTAGATAAGCTGTTTCTCTTCGCTTGCAGTCATTTCTTGTAGGACCCAAACATTAAGATTTTGATTTCTAAAGGGATGATATCATTTGATTATCTAAGGAAAGCTGAACGGTAGATTTAATTTGTTCTATGGAACATAATAGAACCGGTTAAGGGAACATAATTACAATATTTTAATTTTGAGGGGATAACATTAAAAAACAATTTAAGAATTTCCACGAGCCTCGTGTTATTTTAGATACTTTAGCTACCTCATTCAGTATTCCGGACGCCACTCTGGACTGGAAATGGGCTTCCTGGCCCTCGGCGGGCACAGTCGGCGTTCACACTCTGTCCCTCCACTACCAGATGCTTGCTTGTTTATTTTTAAAATCCCAAGGTTCTGTAAGTGTCTAGTCTTTCCTCAGGAGAGAGTAGACTGCTGCTGTCTTTTAAAGGTGACGGAATCCTAGCAAGAAGCAGATGAGCTGTTCAGGTGACTTCCTGTCGCCTCCTTCAGCACAATGATCCTTTTTTTTTTTTCCTTGAGCTTTCGGCAATGAACTTTAGGATCTTCTTTCTGTCTGGTAAATTAACTTCTTTTCAAAAAAGGCTGTGAGCAAATTTTACTGAAGGGCAGGCAGCTCACAAAATTAACGGCGCCGGCAGATGCATTAACAAGACAGGGGTGCGGCACATCAGCAGCATCGCAGGACAGAGACACACTGACTGCAGCCCGTTTTCGCACGGTTTGTGGGAACGCGGCCGACACGTGCGTTCGCGGGCCCTTCGGCAGCTCTGCGCAGCCACGGGGGGTGGAGCAGGCGGGGCCTCGGCTGCCGGGCCGCCTGCCGCCCGCACGTCCGCACGTGGACTTGCAGAGAGAGAGTGTGCGGTCGGCCCCTCCCCTGGGACCTAGATGGCCTCCCCCTGGCTTCGAGGTGGGCGAGCCCCATCAGAATGCCAGAGACCTGGTGAGGAAACACCTCAGAAAACGTTCTCCGAAACCGCCTCCCGGTCTGACTGCTTCCCCTGTGACCCCGCAGGTGCCGACCAAGAAGCTGAAGAAGTATGAGAAGGAGTACCAGGCGATGCGCGAGAGCCAGCTGCAGCAGGAGGACCCCATGGACAGATACAAGGTACGGAGTCACGGCACCTGCCAGGGCACGGCGCCCCCCCGGCCCCAAGGCGGCGCTTGTGGCGACCTCGAGCCCCTCTGTCCCTTCCCGACCGACGAGACCGGTCTGACCCTTGTGTCGGATCAATGACCAGGTGCGTGTCCATTTCAGAAGACGCCCGAGTGGCCCACCGTAATATTTCTTTTCTTTCAGTTTGTATATTTGTAGGTAACGCCACCTGTTGCATTTATACTGGGGATCTTCCTAAGAAGCTGAGAGAAAGAGAGGGAAAGAGAAAGAGAGAAAGTGGCTCTCGACTACTTTCAGACATGAGGAAAAAGAAAAATGGCCAAGTGCTGTTTCAGCTGTGCACGGTCACAGCCACAAAGACTCTTAGAAGGTGACCCGTTCCGGGACTGGCGCGAGAATGTTTCAGACGCACCTGTGTCTGTAGCAAATGTCAAAAGCACAGACTCACTGGAAGGACAAATAAAAACCACAGAGGTTATACTGAGCACAGTAACGGTGTTTGTCGCAACTTTTATTTCCGCAAACGAGCTTCTGAGTGACAGTGACATTTCACTACAGTATCCAGTTGCCAAGTCAAAATGATTTCATCTTAACATCTCGGTTCAGTGACTAACAGTATTTGTTTCAATTGGGCTATTCACAAAGATAGATCTCTTCGGTGGTAATGAGGCAATGACTGAATTTGAACTTATTTTTTTCACACTGAAATATTATCGTTTCTCTTTAACATATTTTAATTCTTCTGGTTCCTACAGTTCTGCAGTCCCCTTTCTCTCCACATCAGTGCACTAGGAGAAGAGAACATTGTACTTGCATAGTGAGCCATGGCACAATGCCCTGCCAACAAACAAAAACACTGGGGTGGCATCCTGGACTGAGTCGCCCCCGGTGGCACCACTCCGCTCTGGCGCTAGAACCGCCTGTGTGCGGCAGAGGGCTGGGCCCGGGCAGCCGCGGGCGCACGGTGCGTCTTGTCTCTGTCGCTGAACTGAGTGGCGTGGGGGTCCAGAGAGGGGCGCGGGGGAGGAGTGTATCGATCTTGGAGTCAGACCCGAGCTGGAATCCTGCCTTTCCAAAAAAAAAAAAAAGCCAGGGTTTGGAATCCAAGTTGTTCATCGTCTTGAACTGACTATTAAGCCTCTTTCTTGTCCTCAAAACATGTAGTATACACATTCCCTTGAAGGACTGTTGGGAAGTTGAGGGATGGTTGTATGTGAAGCACCCAGCACATGGTTGGTATGCCGTGCATGGTTGTTTTAGCCTAATCAGGCCTGCTGCCTCAACTTACCCAAGTATTACTGGGCAGTACCACCTTATGTGCGCCAGTCTGTGGCTGATCTTCCTCACGGCTCTTCCAGGTGTTGCTGCCCAGTAACCTAACATCAGCCTGTTTTCCCCTCGTGCGCAGGCAGGCCTGGCTGCAGACCTGCCGCTGAGGGCCCACAGACTCCGCGGTGCAGAGCTGGAACCCAGGAGGGGCTCGCGGAGCAGGCGTGAAGCGAGCCACCCACCCCCTCAGTAAAACCAGTGTCGGCGCAGCTCACACCGCGCACTGCTTGAGAGAGGCTTGACGATAATTAGGAGATATTTCTCAGATCCAACATGAAGCCGTCCTACCACTCGCGTCATTCCAGTTTTCTTATTGCCGCCATCGTTATAAATAAAGTCTGGGAAGAGTGCTTCAAAATAGAAGGGAGGGAAACCGCAGACTAAAATCGTATGTGTGAATGCGGACTGAGGCTCAACTGGTTATTGTTTCTTAAATCCCTTTGGTGTCAAAGCAGATACGTATAAGTTGATAGTACAGTGCATATTATTTAAAAAACGCCCACCATGCATAAGACTTACCGATGTGTGCAGTGTCTGTTGAGGGGTCCAAGTAGAGTTAAACCTTTTGTTTTGTTTGGAAAACAGGTGTTGCCTTTTAGCTGCAGTGCTGTGTACACGCCAGGCTGCTTCTGTATCTGTAACTGTTCCCTTTGTGTTGCTGGCCCCCAGTTAGTCCGTCCCTACCCAGTATCTCCAGACCCTTTAGTAATGTCTAGGCATTTGTGCTGAGAGAGACATAGTGGGTAAGATACGGCCCTCAAATTATAATGATGTTTTCAAGGTGACAGTTGACAACATAGTTCTCAGTCATCCACACATTTTTTGTTCCACAGCTGTAATTTCTAGTTTAAGAAGCTAATTATAATGACCGTAATCATAGTAGGGTCATCTTAGGGAATCCTGTTTAGTGTCTTCTAAGTTGAATCCTGTCAAAGATCCGATTGAGGTCCCGGGAACTTTGTAATTCATTGATCTCGGACCGGGAACCTGTCACGTAAAGTCGAAGAATAACTCGGGAAGAGTTTCGAGGCTGTGAGTCGAATCTAACGCCAGTTCACTGACACTGCCCACCCCCCCACCCCCCACCCCCCCCACCCCGTTAGCATCCACGCCGCTTACAGCGAGCGCCACGCTTACCTCTGGCTCGCCACCTGGAGGGTCATGTCAGTTTTAAAAAATGGCCCAGAAATGTCATGCGGTAAGATGTTGCCAGATAGTAGTGTTCGGTCTGCAGCTGTTGGGTGTGGCGGTGGACAGGCAGGCCTGTTGCAGGGAGGCCAGAGGCGGGCTGGAGGCCGGACAGGGCAGAGGTGGCCCCCAGCAGTCACACGGTGCTGTCGTCTCCCGTTCCACCCAAGCCTGTGCCCTGGGTTCACTTTCACAGCACACACGAACGTGTGCTTTCTCGGGTCATGTCACTGTGCTCACCTGTGTCTCACACTGAAATCTCAACCACAAAGAAGGAGCGAAACGGGGCTGGTTGACGTGTAGATTTTAGAACCCTGTGCACAGCAAAAATGTTTTGGAATCAGATGGTGGTGACAGGCACACAACTTGGTGAATCCGCAGGACCTGCTGAGGAGCGCATTAGAGAAGGTGGATTTTATTGGCTTTTTGGAATGTGTGTGAATCCCATCTCAAAAGAGCGCAAGCAAAATGTCCCAGGAGGATTGGCATCTGGCCCATCATCTTCTCTTCATGAACTCCAAGTCACTTGGAGGTCCCTGTGCAGAAGCCAGGCTTGTGGGAGCGGAGACCGTCCTGTTGGAATGGAGCCAGTTAGTGACTGGAGACCCCGCGTCCCCGTATTTGTAGGGGAAGGGGCAGCACAAGTGGGTCGTGTACATTCATTTTCATGTGCATCCGTGTATATATATGAAAGTGCACCCACATGAAGTGAAAGGGTCTAGTCCATATTTCTGTTACGTATGTTCATTTTCATAAATATATCCATGTGCATATGTACACGCACAGAGACGTAAACATCTATAAATAGTTGTAATGCACCCGTGTGCACACTGCCTGCCTACCTGGTCTTGGCGTCCGTTGTGTTTGAAACTCCATGAGCTCTATCTGTAACGGCTGCTTACAGCCTCTGGGGCACTGCTTCTGTTCCTCTTCGTGGCCAGAGCTCAAGACGGAAAAGGAGACTGTAGTGGAGGAAGAATGTAGCGTCTGTATCCCAAGTCCCTTTCATTGTCCTTAGGTTTGGCCTGGCCACACGTGTGCAGGAGCGTTGCCGGTCTGTAAGTGTGCTCGTTGATTTTGGATGGAGTGACGTGCGGGAGAAAGGTGTGTCTGCAGAGACACATCCTGTAGATTTTCATTTTCATGCAGGTCCCCAGAAAACAAACGTTCATGGGTGTGTGTCGCTGTTTGAGCACATTGTACTTTATTTTTTTAAAGATTCTATTTATTTATTTTTAGAGAGAGGGGAAGGAAGGGAGAAAGACAGGGAGGGAAACATTGGTGTGTGAGAGATACATCGATCAGTTGCACACCCCCAGCTGGGGACCAGGCACGTGTCCTGACGGGGAATCAAACCACTGCCCTTTCAGTTCGCAGGCCGGCACTCCATCCACTGAGCCACCCCAGCCAGGGCTGTCTTAGTACATTTTAAAAATTAGTTACTTGCCAAGCCTCTAATAAGCATTTACCAGTTTCAGAAAATAAAATATTTTCTATTTTAAGGAGGCGAATTGTTTCCTTTGGGGGAAGTTGGTTTTCTGATAATTTAGTCAATTGACAGTGCTTTTTAGAGAATCACCACCTTCACCTGCCTCCGAGAGATGCTGTGCTTTTCTTGTGTAATTAAAGAGCCGCGTGCACCAGTGTGGGCTAAGCCTTAAAAAGCACGGCTAATTAATTAAACTCAGTGACTCTCCCAGAGCACGAACAAGGTTATGTCTCTACTTACTCTAGATGGGCAAATCCTAGAAGCAGGATTTGGGACACAGATCTTATAAATACATAATTTCTCATGGAATATCCTTGTTCAGTGTAATTAAATTTTGAGTATTTAACTTCTTGAAGTTAGACATAATAATTTTAAGTCAAAGTGTAATTCAAACGGAAAGAAAATGATTCCTCTAAGTTTACACGTTTCTTGCACGTACTAATGTTTCTAGGGCACTTGTTCCTGCACGTATTTAAAACTGAGCTATTCCATTGTACGTGGTTGAAACAGTGCAAACAAAAGACTGGAAGTAAAGCTTACTTGTACTGTTTGCCATCCCCACATGTCTAATGAAATAATTTAGAATAATACCACATTTTGTTTTTAACTTGACTAGTGGAGACTTTAATTATGCTAAATTTCCTACCTGGAAAAAAAGTTTCCCCATTTCTTACTACGTTGGGTCCTTCCTCATTCAGAGAAGTCAAGATACGTGAATCCATGTTTGACAGATGTTTTTCTACAAATGAAAAGAAAGTTACTTTTTTTTTTGTATCACAGAGACTTGGTTGGCTTTTGGAAATATTTGTTATAAAATAATGTGCTTTTCATGAATAGTCGTAGTGAAGAGGGTGGTTTCTATGGTGACTGAAAGCTTAATGATAAACTTCAGAAGACCCCACTCTGTCCTGTTGAGCTTGGATAACCAGTGAACTTGCTGTGGGTGGAGCTGGGGTGGTGGAGGGGCAAGCCCTTGGCCTCTTAAGGCTTCTTGGGCAGCTTAGCTCAGAAGGAGCGGGTGGCCTCTGATGGTGCTTGTCTGCTTATTGAGTTATTCTCAACATTGGGAGAAGTGTAAATGGTAAACATACTAAGAATTTCTAAGCATGTTTATTGATGATCTTCAGAGTGAATTCTCCAAAAATTTTCTTCACTTTTTAGTACATTTTGTTTCTTACTAAAGTCATATTACAGAGAAAGCTATGTCACACTCTTGTGTTTCTACATCCTCTGTAACCCATTTGCTCTTTTAAAATTTGATTTGTGTGCTAGAGTAGGGCAGGGATTTGCAAACTGCGGCCCGTGGGCCAAAGCTGGCCCACTGCCGAGTTTTGTAAATAAAGTTTTATTGGAACACAGCCACACCCACTGATTCAGTTACTGCTTGCCTTTGTACGCAGTGGCAGAGCTGAGTAGTCCCAAAGGCTATGCGGCCTACAAAACCAAACATATTTACTGTTCGTCATCTGCACTAGAAGTTTGCTCTCCCCTGTGCCATTTAATCTAAGGTGATTTTTTAAGTGCCAAATGAAATGCAGTCTGGTTTGCCAACTGCCAGGTACGTACCACTGAAAAGATCTTGTTTTTAGTTGGACATTTAAAAATTTTAAACCCCCACCAGCTAGATAAAATTGGACATTTTGGGTAAAAGGAGAGCATAGCATTATTTTAAATATATCCATGTTTTCCTTCTCCAGTCTTCATTTACAGATGATGTAGACATTTCAGCATTGCATCTGCAAGCATTGCTCTTTGTCCAAAACCCTGATGAAATTGGAAGGTGCTGGCTGTCAGCTCTCTTGAAAGAGGTGTCCAAAACAACCTCAGTGAGAGCTGAGTGTGCCGTTGGTAATAAACTTGCACTGGGTCTTTTAGGAAAACATTTTCTCCTGACCCTTACATGTCTTCAAAAACACGTGCCAAGAACTCGTTGCAGCAGCGGACACACACCCAAAACACGGAGCTGGCGTTCCGGAAGCTGCCTCCCGCCCCGTCATTTTTTCCTCTGAGGCTCAGCGTGTTCTCTTCTGATTGCCAGCTCCCATTTTTCTGTTTTTCCATCTTGGAAAAAATGATGCTCACCATCCCTTGTAGCAGTTCACTGTAACTTCAGCCCTCAGACCCGGGGGTGGGGGCCCGGGCCCCACTTCTCTCGCGCAGCCCCCCGTTCGGCAGCGTCATCCTGTTGCCCGAAGATGACGGACTGTTGGGCAAGGTCTCCAACCTTGTGGCATGAGGAAGTCCCTTCCACCCGGCTCTGACGGCGCGGCGTACACAGCTCACGCCCAGTTGCTCGCAGCCCCACACAGCGGCTCCAGCGGTCACGCAGACTGCAGGGAGGCCCTGGGGAGGGAGGGGCCTGGTGCGTCGCCTCCCCAAGCTGAGACCGGCCCTCTGGCTGCCTCCAGTGCACCTCCCCCCAGTGCTGGCCGTCCCGGGGAGACCCGGGAGTACGTCCGACCGGCGCTGCCCCACGTCTGTCTTGTTCCCACCGTTCCCTGAACATAGGAGTCGGTGTGCGGTCTCATTGCATCTCCTTTTTTTTTTTTTCAATGGTCTTTGTACCCATGATTGAAAACGGTAGTTGGTCTAGGACTTTTGAGGAGGTAAGTTTTTTTTTTTAATCTGTGTTTGTGTGTGATAGCAGCGTCTGTCTCTGAAAAATGCAGTATCCTCCTCCCGAACGTTACTAACCGCACTCCCCCAGCTGTGGCCTCCTGTGCGGGAGGGGCGGGGGTGGCAGAGGGAAGCTGTCCTGGCTTTCTGCTCGGCTGCCTGCGCTGGGGCGTGTCCCAGACGGCGTGTGGAAGGGCCGTGGAAGCAGTGCCCCCCGCAGGCTTCACTGAAAGGCCGGGGCGGGGCCGCTGGCCCGCTCGGTTCACAGGCTCTGCTCACGCAGCACGCCTGCCCGTGCTGACCTGTAACCTGCGACTGTCTCCGGGCGGACGGAGGGCCCAGGGCTGAGGTCAGGGCCCTCTCGGGCGGGCGGCCCTGGCTAACATTTCCCAGTGAGTCAAGCAAACTGACGAACTGCCCATCCCGAGCCCATCCAGACGAAACTCTCTTCTCCATCCTGGTGTAAAAGCAAACTTTTTCTTGAACCAGCCAGTTCTGAAGAGAGTTTTGACTCCTTGGGACAAGCTAGCACGGGTGGCCCGGGAGGCCTCCCTGAGGCCCCTCGGGGCCCCGGGTCCTCACCGTGGAGGACGATACTGCATTGCTGGCCCCGTAGCTTGCTTCGCCCTGCGCCTGTGAGTGCAGAGCCGGGGCCCGTGCATCCGCTCTGCTGCTGGCTTTGCAGACACTGAAATGAAGCTCCCTGCTGAGGGCAAGTCAGGTGCGCCCCGGCTATCGCACTCGGTAGGGACCCCCAGACGCATACTCTCTCCCCAGTAACTCCCCACCCCCCCCGTGTGTCTGTAAGGAAGGGTGCCAGCTACGACAGTCCTGGAGTGGGAAGTCACCAGGCGGAATTTCAGCTGGGCTCGCGCTCTCTCGTGTAACTCAACAGACCCATCGCTGATCAGCAGGGAAGGTACTGACCTGTGCTTTTTAAATACACAGGACACACACGTCAACAAAGTCCTCTTCCACTCACATCGGGTGACTTTACCTGGAGGTTAGCTCAACTCTAAGAGTGTGTCCTGCAGCCTGAAAAACGGGTGGCCGCTGCACTTCCACTAGTGCCAGGGGAAGGTGGTGTGGGTAGCGGAGCTTGTCGTGCCCTGGAGCCCTGCAGGTGCCCTTCCGGCAGACACGGGACTGTGGACTCAGGAACGGGTGCTGCGGCAGGCTCACCGGGGCCGCTTGGGAGTGGATTCTGCAGGAAATGAGGAGAACGTCTGCTCTGCATTGTGAAGTGCGTCTTGAGGAAACCGTGCTGGCGCCGCTGCCTGTCCTGCCAACGAGGGCATCTATTAGGAAAGTTTCTGAACCTTTTTTTAAAACATGTGAGTTTTTGACAGGCACGTAAGTTGTTTCCACAAGAAGGAGTGATCGTTAGATATATTGGAATGGAAGACTGAGGCTCCAGCAGCTGCTACGATTTGGATCGCTCCCACAAAGCTTGCAAGATGCAGCCCGAGACGCCCTGGCTTCTTCGTCATGTCCTTACGCTCGGTGAGAGGAGCCGTCCGTAGGTGGAGGGAGAGAAGGCATTTGACGAGTACAGTCTGCCCCGGGCACACGCACGCTGCCCCGTCAGGAATAACTTGGAAGTGGGGTTCTGGTGAGGCGGCGCTTTGAGGGTTACATTGTAGTTTGGTCCCAAGGAAGATCCAGGGTGGTTTCGTGTAGAATACGAGCTTCTCACAAGAGGGACTTAAAAAATATTGTTTGGACATTTCATCATTTACAGTGGAATTGAAGTTCTAAATTGCCTTTCATTTTTTAAACAACTTTTTAAACTTTTAAAACACATGTTATATATTCATTGTAGAAAACTTGGAAACTTTTAAATACCACCAAGACAACAATAAAAATAGTCTACTACCCATGGTTAATACCTGTTATTTGTGGTGTTATCAAATGGGATTTTCTAGTTACTTAGCTCTTTTTCCACAAGATAGCATAGCATTGCTCTGTTGCTAGATAGTTTGACTTGTATTTTAATACTACATGGAATTCCATCATGAGAAAATCTTCTTCACTAGACATCCTTTTCAAAAACTGTTTTCACATCCCCAGTTGCCCCCGTCCGCCTTCTGCAAAAGGAAGGTCTGAAATGAGCCCCCGTGGCTGGTCACAGTTCCAGCACAAGTTTGTCCCTGCGCTCCTTTGCCGGCCCCGTTCGGGTCCTTTTCCCCCGTGGAAGTCTCCGGCTCGGTCCTCCCCGTCCACCCCTTAGCCAGCCCTTCTTTGGAAAACAAAAAGAAGAAAGAAATGAGGTTTTCTGCCTTCCATATAACACACCCCAGTGTGTCCTGTAGAGAAGATAGAGTCCACCACGCACACACACACGCACGCACACGCGCACGGAGCATGCTATGACACGCCCCCTTCCAGGAGGTAGTTTTGTCGTCTGGTCTTGCGGCTCAGCTCGTTGAGTTCTCACCAGCCTCACAGAAAACACCATTAGGAGTGTAAACCTGGAAAGCAGGAGGGCGTCATCATCCCAAAGTCTTTCCCGTCCGCTCTCTCTCCGGAGGCCCCTGTGACTGCCAACGGGCAGAGGGAGCACTTTGGAAGGGAGGCGCCCCCTGCTGTTGTGCCAGGGCGACCTTGCTTCCCAACGAGGCGATGCGACTCGTCCTCGTCACTGAACTTTGTTTCAGACTTTTCCCTGGGAGCTCAAGGGGAGCAAAACAGCTCAGTCGTGCGTTTTACCTAGAATCTTGTAACCCGAAATTTAACAAACACCAGAGCAAATGTTTAGAGAGATGCTGTCGTAAGAACTGTTGCCTGAACGCAGACATCGGTGGTCGGAAACATAAACACGTGTTCACCCAAAGAGCGAACGCGTCAGTTGCCAGCAAAGTCACGAACCCACGCCTCCTGACCCCGGGTCCTGGAACAACAGCTTGAGAAAGTGCCTAGCGGCGTGCCCCATCCCAGCCCCACTGTGCCTTGCGGTTTCCCTTGAGGTCAGGACGGGGTTACCGTGCATGTGCCTGCACTCCACGGAAACCTCACGGGGCCGGGGTCTGTTTGGACGTTTTGCTTTTCCGTGGCACATTTTTTACGCTGTCCGGGGCGGGGGGTGTGATGACTGGGTGGGTTTCACTGGGTAGCGTGCCGCCTCTGCACCGCTCGCTTAACTCACCGTCGTTTCCCAGACAGCTGCCCCGCCTTCCTGTGCCGCTGCGCCCTCTCCTTCCACACCTTCTTCGGGTTCACTGTCGTTGCTGCTTGCGTTCCTCACCAGTCCCGTCCGCCGCTGCTGTCCCGCCAGGCACTAACGCCCGCCTCTGGCTGTCGCTCTTTTTCCGCAGAGGGAGAACCGGAGACTACAGGAGGCCAGCATGAGGTTGGAGCAGGAGAATGACGACCTGGCCCACGAGCTGGTGACCAGCAAAATCGCCCTGCGGAATGACTTAGATCAGGTACGCTGGTCCTTCGCCGGGGAGAAATGAGACCCTGACAGCCTCAAGGGCAAGGACCCGGCTGCTCTCACCACAGCCCCGCCAGCGCTCCCTCTGTGCTTGCACTGAGTCAGTTGCTCGAACGGTGGGGGGTGAGCGGGCGGGCGAAGGTGGGAGGGGACCGCTTGCGCTAACTGGAGCAGGTGGGGAGCGCCGGCCTTTGAGGAGGGTTTGGGTCACTTCCGAACAGCACGTGTGACATACTCGTTTATGCCTCTGCACTTCTCTGGGGTCTCCTCCCTGCACCGGTGCTTCTCCTAAACCGAGGGCTGCCAGCGCGACCGCCCGGAAGCATCAGTCACAGGCGTCCTCACCTAGCGTGCTTGCGGGGGTTTCATAGGGCACGTGGCCATTACGACGTGTGTGTTCTTGGGTTGGCAGGCGGTCTAGTGGCCAAGAGCCCATCCCACCGCCCGTGTGTGAGCCTGCCCGTGTGTGAGCCTGGCACCCCCGTTTCCCGACCGCGTGCCTGGGCGGTGTGTAACCTGCCCGCAGGTATAAAAAGGTCTACCCCGTGAGACGATTTGAGACTAGAATAAGGTAAAGGATCTTTGTAGTATGTGTTGAGTAAATGCTGGCTGCTGCGGGGAAGATGTTAAGCTGTTGAACTTCCCTTGTTCTCTCAGCTTCAGGATTTCTGTTTTCTATTGAAAAGTTGAGACAACTATTTCAGAAACAGTTGGCAATATGGTAGGAACCTTGTGTAGATTTAAAATTATGACTCTGTTTTCTGACTTTTAAAAAGTGGACCTTCCCAACAAACGGTGCAAGGTTGGAACAGTGGAGACCCAGACTACGAAATGTGTGAAAAAGGCATCATTGTGCCCTGACAATATTTGAAGTACGAATCCATTAATAATATAAGTTTGATTGAATTGAGATTGAAGGAGTTGTTAAATATTTAAAGATGGCCCCCGCCACCACACCTTCCTTTCCCGTATAAAAACCTGATTTCGCACGCACCGGTCTGACCGCGGTGGGATGGGAGAGGGGACCACTGGTGGTGGGGAGCACGGTGCCGGCTCCCCTCCTGGGGGCAGGCGGGAGCCCAAGGAGTCAGCGCTAAGGGGAGTGTGAAAATAAAGCAGAGACTGTGCTTTCTGCTCAGGACGGCCGATTGGAAGGTAGAAAAGCCAGCCCAGTGGGGGTGGGAGGGGGGTGGCACTCTTAAGCACCAGCCCCGTGCAGCCCACCTCTTTGTCAGGCGTCAGCAGGAAAAACGGGTCACCGAGGGCGTCAGAATCGCAGGAGGGAGGGGCGTCCTGGTCGACCGGGGCCGCGCCCCGCCTGACCGCAGCCGTTCCAGTTCCGTGCGAACCCGGCTGCAGGCGCGGGGCGGCGCTGCAGCGGGGTTCCTGGCTCCCTGTCCGCGTCCCGAGTGGCCTCCACTCACAGCTGATTCTGTCGCTGGGCATCTTACATGTTACTAGTTTCCTCAGGACGACCAGCCAAAGGAAAAAAGTCCTAAGCAGTTGGACTCAGCGGGCGTGCAGTGGAAGAAGGTCAAGTTGTAGATTGAAAGTTACGTGGGTAATGCATTCGGTAAGCCTCATAAAGGTTTAAAAGTAATGAAATTAAATACTGGCTGAGTACCTACTATGCACCAAGCAATAAATGTAGTGATTTATGAGCATTATCTTACTTAATCTTCCTAATGACTTCATTATTTTAATCTTCCGTTTTATCAGTGAGGAAACTGGCATACACGCACACACACACACACTCTGACTTAGCAGTCCTAGGAGAAAGAGAGATTCGGTCAAAAAGATACACACAAGGTCATTTTCTGCAGTGTTACTCATAAGAATAAAAAAATAGAAATAACGTATATGTCCAATGGGAGGGGAGAATGAAAGTATACTAGTAAAATGCCTTTTTTGGAACAGCTTTTAAAAATGGTAGGAAGGCAATGATAGAAGTCTGTAAAAACGGTAAATTAATCTGTGTGTAATGCCTGCATCTAAGTCACCAGGGCCGTGGGTGGCACGGGGCCGCCCTGTGGGGGACGGAGGCTGCAGTGCACCTGGGCAGGGAAGAAGCGGACAAGGACGCACAGCACCACGAGACTTCTCTGGGCGATAAGAGCAAATCTAATTTTTATATTCATCTTTATGCCTTTATGTTTTCAGTGACTACTCTTTTATAAGAAGACCTTAAATTGTTTAACCACCCTTGCTTAAGCCACAATATGCACTATAACTTTAATAATCAGAAAAAGTAAAATACACAAAACTTAAAATATTTTTGGTTATAAAAATATACTATTTAAACATAAAAATAATCATAAAAATGTATTATTTAAAAGTTTTCCAGTCCTGTCTGGTGTGGCTCAGTGGATGGAGTGCCGGCCTGTGAACCAGAGAGTCGCCGGTTCGATTCCCAGTCAGGGCACATGCCTGGGTTGCAGGCCAGGTCCCCAGTGGGGGGCGTGCAAGAGGCAGCTGATCATCGTATCTCTCGCACATCCATGTTTCTCTCTTTCTTCCTTCCTTCTTTTCTCTCTAAAAAAAATAAGTGAATAAAAATAAAATCTTTAAAAACAAAGTTTTCCAAGAAAGCCCATTTTGTGGGTCCGTCTAGAATGACTGCCCCACGGGGGCTGCCGAAACAGTGGGTTGTTGAGAGCCCAGGAGCCTCCTGCAGACACGTGCTCAGTCCCTGAGGACAAGTGACTCCTTCCTCTAGTCCTCACTCTCATTTCCTCCCTTCACGCCTCTCTTTCTCTCCCTCGCTCTTCTTTAATTAATCCTCAGCCGGGGACATGTTTATTGATTGTAGAGAGAGGAAGAGACGGGAACATCACTGTGAGAGAGAAACATGGGTCGGTCACCCCCTTATGCACCCAGACCGGGGGCCAAACCCACAAGCTTTTGGCGCCCAGGACGACCCCCACCAGCGGAGCCACCTGGCCAGGGCATCTTTCTCTCTTTTTTTTAAAAGACCCGGCCCCTGCTTTTGAAGCTTTTCATCTGAATGAAAGAATAAACATTGCTTTTTCATGCGTGTCTCCTCCTGATGTTGCAGTTCTGCTCAGGCAGGGCTCAGCCCACGGTCCAGGTGGCCTGCACCCGTGGCTCCAAGGCGGGGCCCTCCCTGGCCTGAGAGCGAGCCCACCGGCTTGGTCTGCTTCGCCCCCTAGCTGGCCTGAGACTTCTCCATCCCGGCTTATCGAAATCTCGTCTCTGCGTTAAAACAGCAAACCTGGCAAACATTAAACGGACGTGAAAGCAGGTTGTATATTGGAAGTAATATTGAGCGCAGACAGACAGTAATTAGGCACTTCCTCAGAATAAACGACTCCCTACCCCCGTTGCGTTGGCCTCGGCTTCAGGCTTCCTGGGCTCCGGGGGCTGTTCGCTCCTCGCCGACGACACGGGCTTCTCCCTGCAGAGCTCGCCCCCCTCCCGCTCTTGAAGCGGGCTTCTGGGCAAGATCGGAAACGTGAACAGACACAAATTCCCCGGGTCAGTTTGTGCCGCCCCCTGCGCTCCGGCCCCCCTGTCCTTTCCCACTCCCCCGGAACCGAGAGGAGACGCAGCGCGTGCTTTCCCACTGGGGACCGTGCCGAGGTCCCTCCTGACCACAGCAGGGTTCGTGTGCGGCCAGAGGCGGCGCGTGCTAAGTGGCAGGTCCGTTTGCTTTGTTTTAGATGGAATGGCTGTCTAGTTCTTTGAGAACCCGTTACTGGAAGATCCTCGTGCTGGTGCCTTTTGCTCAGGTTATGGGCTGGTTCGTGGTGACATCACAGATGGCAGTGTCGCTTCTGTCCCTGCCCACGAGACTCTGAGCTCTGGGAGGTGGCAGCGGAGAAACTTCTGGAAAGCCCTGGGGCTCCTTCCATAAAGGACCCGCAGAACTTTCTGCAGATGTCACTTCTGGTGGCGATAGGAAGAGAGGGGGCTCGCCTTGCCTCGGCCTAGAACGTGCAGCAGAAACGTGAAATAAAAATAGCGGGTCCTCTCCTCATAAATATCTAGTCATTTATTGAAAATTTTCTCTGGGAAGTGGCTTTCTTTTCCTTTCATCACAGACATTCCCCAAACTGCAAAGTGTCTTTCTTGAGGTCCGTCTCTGGTTTTAAATGTTCTTTTGCTGCTTGCACGCCGCCTCCGCCCCGCTGAAACGCAGTGTGTCAGTGTCTTGAGGAGGGACTTGCGCAGCGTAAGCACCTGACAGCTCCGACTGGTGGGAAACAGAGCTCTGCCCCCTGGGCTGCGGGGCGCGAGGAGCACCAGCCAGTGGGAGCAGAGGGCTGGAGGCAGGCTCCCCGCCGGCGCCCGGCAGACGGTGCTGGCCAGGCCATCTGGACGTGCGGGAGGTACGGGGAGACAGACAGGAGGCCACCTGGCCCGGGCTCGCTGTGACTCGGACAACATTGCACTGCCGCCAGCCAGGCCAGCTGCCTCAGCCGGCTGCCGGTCCCTGCGTCTGTGGTTTCCTCCGCTGAACCCGTCCTGTGGCTCTCAGCCACCTCCGCTCCGTACCGGCCGCTTCTGTGGAGACTTTCACAGCCACGTCCATCCACTCGCCGAGTGCTGACACAGGCCCTGCTCGGCACCCGGTGCTGCGCTGGCTTGTAGCCGTGTGACGCGCGGCGGCCGTAGCGCTGCCGCCTCCCAGAGCCCAGAGTCCCGTGGGCAGGACGAGGCCGCCGCACGCGTGTGACTTGTCAGTACAGATGCGCTAAGTGCTGTCGAGGGAGGGACGACGGGCTGAAGCAGGAGCAGATTTAGGTGGGTGAGTGGGGCAGGGCGCGGGCCATGCTGCCCTGCGTGCGCACACTGGCAGCCGAGACCTAACAGGTGACACAGACGCATGCCCAGGGGTTACACACACACACACACACACACACACACACACGGCGCTTCCTCAGTCTAGTTGGGCTCTGTCTGAGTTGAGACCAGAGTCCATTTCTGAGCTTTCCTTGGCTATTCTAGTCTTTTCTGTTTGGATCACTGGTCCCTACTTTATTTTTCCTTGTGGATATCTCTATCGTGGGGTTTGGGTATTGCCTTCTCACTACTACACTCACTCCTGTGTGAGTGCCCGTGGGGGGCTTCGAATGTCCCCACCCGACTGTGGTCCATGTCTCGGCCTCGGCCGCCCGCCCTGCACCCACCCCAGGCACAGCCCCTAGGACCTTCCCTCTGTGGCTTCGCCCCTGGCTCTGTCGTGTCCACGGTCTCAGAGCAAGTGCCGTGTGGCACCCAGAAACTCGCGAGGAGCGTTCAGAAGGAGCAGGGGCTCAGATGCCACTCCAGTCTGCGTTTGGATCCGGGCTCCGGTGCCCGGCGTGCGCGCGCCCCGGTCGGGTGGTTTGATCTCTGCGACCCACCGTCTTCATCTGTGAGGTCACCTCTGGGGGAGGGTTAGAGGCAGCGCTAGCCCGGGGCCTGGGACACGGCTGGCATTCGGTGAGGGCGGCCGTCGCGAGGGGGGAAGGGCACGCGCACTGTCTCCACGTCCCCATGACCGGCGCGCTCTGACTTGCAGGCAGAAGACAAAGCAGACGTGCTGAACAAGGAGCTCCTCCTGACCAAGCAGAGGCTGGTGGAGACCGAGGAGGAGAAGAGGAAGCAGGAGGAGGAGACCGCTCAGGTAACAGGCACGGGCGGGCGTTCCTCGGCACAGGTGTATTTATTACATGGGTGCGGGGCGGCCGGCAGTGCAGACAAGACGTCCCGTGCCCTAAGTCGGGCGCCGTGGGAGCAGCCCCTGTGAGCAGCATCGAGTCCGGCGCCTCCTCTGCAGGCGCTGGAGCAGGGGCGGCCTTTCTCCCCTGGAACAGCTGCCAGGCATCTGCCTTGACTGAGCCGTCCGGCGTGCGTGCTAGATTCCCTCTAAGTTTAGTAACTCGGGATTATGACCCAAGAGCGCTGACAAATCTGCAGATTTCGTGTGGCATCGCCAAGATGATTGACTGCCCTGAAGGAACCTGGGGCTTGTTGAGCTGGGAGCCCACAGAGCGCTCGCGCTGCTGGGAGTCGCCCCCACCAGCCACGCTTCCCTTTCCCGATCCCACCCCAAAGAGGACGTGCCAGCGCTCCCGGGGAGCTGGTGCCCCTCGCTCCCGGGGGCGCGGAGGGAGCCCTTCTGTCTCCTGTGAGTTAGGAGGCTGTTTGGCTGGAGGGCACCTCCCCCAAAGGGTGAGGATGGGCGACCAGAGGGGCCTCTCTGTCCGTGCCAGCCGGGCCAGCCAGCGCACGCGCTCTAACGGGTCGCGTTCTGAGACGGCCGAGTTGCTGAGAGAATAGAACACAGAGCCTTTCCGGGACCCACGGCCAGGCGGAGAAGGTTTTGTGAAGTTCGGAATGAAGGGCTGTGTCGTTTAACACCTTTGGAGGTTTGTACAGAGTGCGCCTTCGTTGTTGTTGTTGTTGAAATGATAAAGTGACTTTTGGCATTCACTGTGGACCAAGTTTTTTTTTTATGTACGTAAAATTTTTCAGTGGCTGATTATCCGGTTGGATGTAAGCCTTTTCATGGGTATTGTTTGTTTTTAACCTCCTGCTTCTTGGGGGCTCACTTCAGTACAGTTGGTAAAGGATGAAGCTGGTGGCCACTGAATTTAAGCCATGCTTCTTCCCTGTATGTGTGTGTGTGTGTTCACACGCGTGCATCCTGTTTTAATCATCATGGAACCGTTGTGAGGTCTGGTAGAGGAGGAAACTGGCTCAGAGAACTAAGTGTCAGAGCCTCTCCGCCGTCCAGGCCCGTCCTGAGGTCAGGGGCCCTGCCACCGGACGGGCAGAGGCTGTGGGTTGTGTCCTTGTATGTGAGAGGACGTTATGTGAGTTGTGTGAGATGGAGAACGGAGACTAAGCTAACAACTGAGTCTGAGTCAGAGTGACCCACAAACTGCTTTTAGGATCTTAGGATGCAGCAAGTGTGAAGGGATTCAGAAATCTTCTAATGAGAGGAGCCTGATTATAAAGTGCACTAATTAGTGAGTTAGCACACAGAGAGTAATCTTTAAGTACATAGTCCAGATAAACAGATGAATTCTTCATTGCAGCATCCCAAATTATGAACGGGGTACAACTAAAGTTTTTCTTTGTTTGGTCAACAACATGGAAGAACGGGGTTCTTTCCCCTTTGCCTGCCAGCACCGGAGCTGTTCCGCCATCTCCCCCCCCCACCTAGAGCTCTGCAGCTGCCGCACTGACTGCCCAAGTTGAGCATCCATCAGTCAGTGTTTCTGTGACTGTGTACCTGCCTGCCTTGCGTGTCACCTCAGCTCCTTCTAGGGTCACTGTTTCTTTAGCCCTGAATCTCCTGTCCTCGGGCTCTCATCCTCCTCCATCTTCCCCTGACTCCTGTCCCAAAGCCTGTGGCTCCTGCCTCCAGGGCGGTGACAGCAGTGGCCTCAGGGACGAGTAGGAGGGCCCAGTGTGCTTTCTCTGCAGTGGATCATGCAGCATCCAGGGCACAGGCGGCGATGCCTTGTTGTAGACCCTCACGGGGTCCAGGGGGCTTCCAGATGGGCACTGAATCAGCGACAGGGTTGTAAAGCAGGTGGTGTGGGCACAGGCAGTTTTACCATCGGGTGGTGCCTGTGCCTTACACGTCACAGGAAAGAAAGACTTGTGTCCCTCTTGAGATGATCGGGGTTTTCAGGCGGTCAAGATGCAGCTTCGGTGAGGAAAATGTATATAGTTTCAGTGTTTGCCTTGGCACTGGCCATGATGCAGGCAGACGTGAGTCCGGGTGTCTGTGGGAATTATTAAGATTTCAACCGAGTCCTGACAGTTGTCGTCCTCACTCTTCCAGCTAAAGGAGGTCTTCCGGAAGCAGCTGGAGAAGGCGGAGTACGAAATAAAGAAGACCACGGCCATCATCGCCGAGTACAAACAGGTACCGCGCCGCGGTGGTTTCGGCCCCCAGAAGGGTGGTTGCTGATGTTGTTCTTCGGGGAAATAAACTCTGTTTGTAGAGTTTCCAGAGCCGTGGCCGTGCTGCAGCCACTAAGTGTGGTGGCTGATGGTCTCCCCTGAAACCGATGGTGGTCGGACACGCCTGCTGGGAGCCTGGGACGTTTACCCGAGCCAGTCTGTTGTTTGTCGGTCGTGTTTGCTGGATGCAGAGGAGAAGGAGCGCCATCGTTACCATGGGGACCCCGTCTCCCCTACTCAGAAGCCACTTCCTGTAGAGCACAGTGGCAAACACAGGGCCTGCGGGCAGAGTCCGGCCGGGCACCTGCGCCGGGCTCTAGCCTAACCGTTAGGGAGCAGGTACACGTACACAGCCCTAAAATGACGTCCAGCCCTCTGAAGGCAACCGCGAGTTGGATGTGGCCCCCGGTGAAAATGAGTCTGACACCCCCGCTGTAGAGCATTCTAGTAACACTCGCCTCTTCGCCAAGGACTGAAGTTTAGTGGTTGTGTGAATGGCAGTAGCTAGGGGATCAGTGTGCCCTTCGCTGTCACACCACAGCATGTGGGCACCCGTCTCCCCACATGGCCATGCAGCCTGGAGAGGGAGGTAGCGCCCGCGCGTGCAGAGGAGGAGAGGGGACTGGCTGCGGAGGGAAATGGGGAAGCCCTTCCTGGAGGAGGGGCGGTTCGCGCTGTGCCTCCAGGGCCAGGTGTGTGGGGAGGGCAGGGGACGGGAGGGCAGGCCCGGGGAAAGGGGACCGGCGCACGCGTGCACACAGGGGCGGGCGGAGTGGTGGACGGACAGAGTCTGGTTTGGCGAGCGCCCCGAGCGAGAAGAGGAGCACAGGCGAGTCCGGGCGCAGTTCAAGGAGGGCCGCCAGGGACAGCCGAGGAGTTCGGGGTCGGTTCTGCTGGTGGTAGGAACGTGTGAGCAGGAAAGTGGCACCATCAGGGACCTGTGGCTGGCACTGCTATGGCCCAGTGAGAAATGTGGGACCGAGAGGGGACCCACAGGCAAAGACGCAGGCCAGGGGGAGGCAAGGCGCAGGGTCCAGGTGAGCCGGAGAGACCATCATCGGCAGTGACAAAGTGGAGGCGAGGGCGACACGGAAGATGGCTCCTTTTTTGGCCAGAACAAGGGGAAGCGTTGAAATCGATCCTGAGATTCTGAGTTTGGGTGGAGAGGAGGGGATGCACGAGGAACATTCAAGGCCACGTGCCGCAGAACTTGCCGTCACTGCAGACGCGTTTTTCTGTCGCCACGTTAGGCCATGGGTGGCTGCCATATGCCGTGCTCCGCAAATAGCAGCCTTTGGGACTGATCTTGACTGTTATCTGGCAGGCACTGCAAGCGATGTAAAAGGCAGCAGACCCATCTGTTGGAAGATAATTAGGACCTCAAACATGATCTAAATGCATCCTATAGTTGGAATGGGCTTTTACTGGCTATATTTCAGAACATTTTGGTTTATTTAAAAGGGTATATGGCTTGCCAAAATTACTAGGGAGATCAGTTTTTTAAAAAATACTGGCTAATGCATGCCCGTTTATGGCCTTCAGGCTTAGATCTGGGGAAGTCAGAGAGTGAACTGCACAAGCAGGCCCTGGGTTCTGGAACTGTTCTTGAGTCAGCTGGGGCTTCTGTCTGTTTGCATAATAGAGGTAGTAGACCTTTTATGTGTTGGTCCAACTTGCACGTGAAAGTTTCATACCCCCTAAACTTTTTATTTCATTTCTCACCCAAAAAAGATTGAGATTTTATTCAAGTTCAGTAAGAATTGAACTTCCAGTATTTTTTAAAACTTTTTTTTGCTTCGAAAGCACTTATTTCTACCTGTTCTGGTACTTATTAGTACTTATTTCAGAACTAGTAATAATGAGGTTTTATTTGATGAGTGATCATCAGCCAGGTGCTGTACCAAACCCTCTGCATACATTTTTTCTATGAATTTTCGCAACACAGCACAGCACTCTCTGGTCAGGAGGAAACCGAAGCGTAGACTGCTCAGCGAGTCTGTCCGAGGGCGTGGTGCTAGAAAGAACAAGAAATGGATTCCCCGGCTTCTCATTTGTGCTAAGTTGCGAAACCACTTGATGAGTTTTAGTCTTTATTCTCTTCTGGTCATTTGACATTTTTTTAAAAGTTTCATTCACTCTGCCACTTCTTAAGGCGGTTTCTGTACTTGGAAACAGAGGCCCCTTCTGTGGCTGCACTCAGGAGACGCGTCTGGCCCCGAGTTCTCCCAGCAGAGTCCCAGCATAGACAGGTCTCGCTCGCATGAAGCAGGTACTCAGCACGGGCCCTGTAGAGTGATTCCAGAGGCGAGGACAGGAGTTCCCTGGAACCCATCCCAAAGGCTGGCGACGGGGAGAAATCAGCTCTTCCTCCTACCAGTTACGGCAGGTGCTTCACACAGAGGGCGCTCTCAGGCTCTCTGCCGCTGCCTGCAGAAGAGGCTGGCGTTCCCAGTGCTGCTTATGTGCATGGTTTCCGCAGCATCACAGGGGTGACCGTATAGGAGTTGGTAAAATGATGTGCCCACATGTGGAAGTTGTTCTGTTCTGTCCAGTAAGGAGACTTTTATCTTTCTTTCCTTCAGATCTGTTCCCAGCTGAGCACCAGGCTGGAGAAGCAGCAAGCGGCCAGCAAGGAGGAGCTGGAAGTGGTAAAGGTGAGGAGTGGCGTACATAGTTCTGTGACAGAAGCTCTCCCCCATCCCCAGGCTTAGTGAGCCCCTGATAGGAAGAGCCCCGCCGGCCCTTGGTTCCGGAGGACTTCGGGATTATGTGGGAGGGTCCCTCTCTCCCGACCGGGTGTGATCCTCCTCCCTGCAGCTGAAAGGCTGTGTCCCCGTAAGTCTTACGGCCTGTCAAAGACAGGCAGTGGCTTTCAGCACTGTCTCAGGAGGCCCCGAGCTTTCTTGGACGGAGGGCCCCGGGCCTGGGGGTGTGGGGGCAGCAGCCTGCATCCCAGCTGTGCCTGAACTGGCGTGACGCTTTGGTGCGCGGCCCGTAGTCTCAACCTGACGCTCTGCAGAGCAGGAAGCAGTATGGGTGGTCTAGGACTCGGCTGGAGAACACGTGTTGGGTAACTGATTCTAATTTTTGAGAGATGAGCTTAAAAAAAAAAAACAAAAACCTTGTAGCATTTATTTATATGCTGCCCCCTGGTGGTAAAACTGCTATTGATTATTTGAAAAAGCAACCGCTTATTCTGTAGAAACAGCAGTAAACCAAATGGATCGGTATTCTTAAGAAGTAATGTTGGCACTGCCAACTCTCAGACCAGTGTCCGAGAAACCTGATGTAATTCTATTCGAATATATTCAGGTTTCATACTGGAATTTCTATGCATTCTAGGGACTCCAGCGTGTACTTTAACACCTTGGCAAGTTACTTACCCTTTCTAAACTTTACTTAGTATTCTGCATAGCAGATAACAGTACCTGAGTAATACAGGCATTCTGAAGATTAAGAAAGAATGTATATAGAGTGCTTAGCTTCGCACTTGGCACACAGTAAGTGCGTGTTTTTATAATTTATGACCTGACAATGTGAGACATGGGAAATGAAAATATGAACCTTGTTCTGACTTTGTACTCCAAAAGTATTTTTTTTAAATTTCATGTTATAAAGCACCACCAGTCTGAGATTGTTAGTGAGCATAGAGCTGGTGGTCTCCCTCCCCAAACCTGCTAAATTTGGGGTTCATATCTTCCCTTTCTGTCCTTCCTTTGTCCCCTCTTCCTACTTAGCCTTTATCATCTTTTGTAACTTTGTAGACACAGTGACCAGCATCAGTTGATGAAGTGTCTTGGCCTAAAAGGATTAACTATCCTGAACTAAAACCTTTGTGGAAACAAAAATGAAACAAGGATTTATACTGACCACTCAGGGAAGGTTCTATTACAGAAATTATGCATGACACAGGGCTCAGAACTTCCCTGCGGGGACAGATTATATAAACGTGCGTGGGAAACTTTGAGGAAATACTTGAAAAGCATGTGAGTGCTGAGTTGGATGACACTGACAGTTGTAGAGAAGCGAAGTCACAGGAACTGCAGACCAAAGATGACTTTGGACCTGCTTGGACTAAAGCAAGATGGGTAGAATTCAGTTAGAAGGATTTAGAAGCGACATTCTGGAAAAAACGGTGTGAGTGAAGGCCCAGAAACGGGAATGAGCATTTCATATTTCACTCAGGAAACTGATGTGATCAGAGTGTGTGTTAAGGAATGAGGAACTTATTGGATAGCGGGCGAGGTTACCCATGGGAGGCCATGACGTGCAGAAGGAGGCATTTGAACTTGTCGTAGCCTCAGAGTTGGGCACAGCAGCTAATGATCGCTGTGGGTACTCCTACAGGGCCTTATGTATGTTGTCCCATATGGCCCTCACACCCACCTGTGGGCGCAGACACTGTAATATCTCCTTCTGACCAACTTATTTTATCTCCTTTTTTATTGCTGATGATTTCCCCAAAGAGGTAATTTATTTCCTCAAGGTCACAGAGCTGATAAGCAGTAGTGCCAGGATTTGAACCCGTGGAGTCAGACCCTCCCGCCCATACCCGCAGCCGTTACCTCACACCACCTCCTCTTCTCCCCGTCCCACTTCCTCGTCTCCTGTCTGGCGTGAATGTGATGATAGCCTGCGACCTTTGCACCCCCGGTGACAGCCCTCCCCAGTCCCCGCTCCCTCCTAGTCCGTCCCCTGCGCCAATCAGACCGAGCGTTCCCAGACGCAGATTGGACTGTATCGCTCAATCTAACTGCTGCGAATTAGGCCACATGTGGAAAGCCCAAAACAACGCTGGCTTAGACACAAAAGGCGTTGATAATCTCATGCAAAAGAAGTCTGGGGCTAGAAAGATCCTTGGTTTCATCAGTGATCCAGCTTCCGTGACCCACACGCTCAGTGTGGGCTTCCACCCTTGGGCTCACCGGGGAGTCGGACCTGTCGCCTGGGGTTCCTGCCCTCGCCCCCACACTCCAGGTAGAGCTGACTTCGGGCCGGAGAAGCCGCAAGGATACAAGGGCCCTCCTCCTCCAACTGGGTGGGCCTTCCCCAAGTAGCCTTCGTACAAGCGCTGTGCATATCAGAACTTAACTTCATGGCTCCGTCTGTCTTCAGGGGACTTAGGAAATGGCACCTTTCACCTGGGCATTTTCCAGCCCCTGTGACGTCAAGGTTCTGGTAGTCGGGAAGGAGGTGGAGGTGGGCGGGAATCTGCAGTCTCCCCTCCCCGCCATCAGCACGTCCGCTCCGTGAGGTTCATGGCTCTAGCTCCAGCGCGGAGCACGGGATGCGGTGATGCGAATGCGTGAGTTTTCTGCAGGATAAAGGCAGATGCACGGGCATTGCACTCAGGGGCCTTCCCAGCGCGGCCCTGGAGCGCGCTCCTCGCCGCCTGCTCCTCGCCAGCGCGACACTTCCTCCCGCCGAAGCGTCTCGCCCCCCGTAGTCCCCGAAGGCGGCGCAGTGCGCGTGCGCACAGGGAGCTTTCTCTGCTGAAAGGCCCTCCTCCCTCTCGTGAGATCCATCTCTTCCTTGATGTGGTCTAGCCTAATGAAACTGCCTGCCCAGCTTGGTAGACTTTCAGCCACTTGAGACCCAGATGAGAAGCCACCAAGTTAACGTTCCATTTAGTCAGCAATGCGTACATGGCAGATACTCGCAGCGTGCCCCCCGTGCCAGCCCCGGGCTCTTCAGGGAGCTCTAGGAGTCCCGTGAACACACACCAGCAGGAATCTGAAGAGCACAGTCGGGGTGGGGTAGGAAAAATCAGTGCGGGCCGAGGAGGTGATTTCGGGGGATTCAGGCCTGGGCCAGGAAGAGCCTGGTCGGGTCAGAGGAAGAATTTAGTGATCAGCTGGCGGGGAGTGAAAAGGCGACACCCAGGTCCTCAAGCCTGAGCGGTGGCCGTGCGCGCCGTGGCACAGAGCGGCTGTGTGTGTGTTGCTGTGGGGGGGGGGGGGGGACGCTGGGGTCCTGGCACGGAGCGCGCTGCAGCAGGAGGACGCCGGAACGGGAAGGTTCGAGGACGTCTCTTCTGCGAGCTCTCCTGGCGGCGTTGTCACAAGACAGTAGTGCTCTCGCGTTGAGAAGAGCCGCTGCTGTCACGCTTTGCTCGGCGGTACAGGTCAGAGTCACTTTTGAACAACAGTGAACAACAGTGACCGTCTCCGCTGAAAGCTGAACAAAAGGACGTGCACTTCATCTGCCGCCAGGGTAGATTTCGGTTAGTTGTAATGACCTCAGCCCACTCTAGGCAAGTTACCGAAACCCTGGGTTTCTTCATTTACGAACTGGGGGCGAGCTGGCCCCTCGTCACCCTACAGCCCCAGGAGTGAGTGGGACAGTGGGTGCAGAGCACAGTGGGAGGGGCGTGGCACCTAGCCAGAGGGACCGGAGCACTGAGTGTCTGGAACAGACGTCGGAGCGGCGCCGAGCCACTGTCTGTTCCCAGGGTCTCTCTGCACACGCTGGGGGGAAGGGGCAGGTGGGTCCTGCGCAGACTCGAACCGTTTTGGCTGTAGCACCAGAGAAAGAACCACCTTCAGATACAGGCCGGCGTTTGGGGCAGCAAGCAGCATCTAAATAGAAATCATCAAACCGCACGCTGTTTCAGGGGGAGACTCACGCTGTGGGACGCACAGCCCGACGTTGTTCTCTCTCGGCTGTTTCAGGGCAAAATGATGGCGTGTAAGCACTGCAGCGACATCTTCAGCAAGGAGGGCGCCGTGAAGCCGGCAGCCGGCCCCCGCGCCGACCAGGGGGCCGAGTCGGACGACGAGAAGGACGCACTGAAGAAGCAGCTGAGGGAGATGGAGCTGGAGCTGGCACAGACCAAACTGCAGCTGGTGGAGGCCAAGTGCAAAATCCAGGTCGGTGACTGGACAGAGGTCAGCGGGAAGAACGAAGTGCGTGGTGCGGGCCATTCTGGGACTTTAGAATAGACACATCTCATGCCCTGGCTGGCGTAGCTCAGTGGATTGAGCTCGGGCTGCGAACCAAAGTGTTGCAGGTTCGATTCCCAGTCAGGGTACATGCCTGGGTTGCAGGCCACGACCCCCAGCAACTGCACATTGATGTTTCTCTCTCTCTCTTTCTCTCTCTTTCTCTCTCTTTCTCTCCCCATCTCCCCCCTTCCCTCTCTAAAAATAAATAAATAAAAATTTTAAAAAATAAATTATCAAATTAAAAAAAAAGAATAGACACATCTTGCTCAGAATCGTAGGTGTTATGATAAATTCATTTTTCTGCCCCAGAATGCAGAGTCAGATGTCATGTCATTATTTTTAAACACTGATATAAATACATAGATTTAAATGAATATTAATCATTAAAATTATATCTTGTGAGAACTTAGGTGTATGCTTTTTTTAGTTTACCCTGTGATTTTTTTTTTTTTTTGGCCAAGGTCCTTCCTCATTGAACTTGGTCACTGTGGTAGCTGACCCTGAAAATGAAAGGTCAAACCTCTGTTATTCTTCCCTCAATGGTTGAACATCAGCTGACACCTTTTTTTTAAGCTCTTTTTCATCGTTACCTGGTTTTGCCAAGTCCCTTTCCCCATAATCCCTTTCCATACTGGGAGGGCAACATGATTAGGAAAATAGTCCCGGCTTCCAGTGGACCGTGATCCGCACCCGCCGCCACGTCCTTCCGTGGCTCCAGGGCCACCGCACCCGCCGTCCTCAGCTGCCTCTGTGCTGTTCCTTGCACGTTCTGTGGGCAAAGGCCGTGTGTTTGGAATTACAACGCACTCATGCTTACTCCATCGGTAAAAAATGCAATCCATCCATACCTTTGTGTTTGTTTGTGGTTTTACCCATGTTATCTCGGGCTTTGCCCTAACCCTGAAGGGCAGGGGGAATAAAAGGATGACATGAGGTTTCATTTTACTACTGTCCAGAAAAAGCACAGATTCTGGTTTTTAGTGGCAATTCTTCTAGCTGTAAACTTTTTTTTTTGTCCATTAAGACGCCACTTAAATTTCTCCTGGGCTCTGTGGGAGGAAAACTATGGATATGTAGACCTGGGGTCTATTCTAAAGAGATTCTAAAAAGCTGTGTACTTAGATACTGTTTTGTCAGAGAGAAGACATTTATGCAAACTCAGATGGTTTTCTTTCTTTAACTAGGAACTTGAACATCAGAGAGGGGCACTTATGAATGAAATCCAAGCTGCAAAAAACTCTTGGTTTAGCAAAACCCTGAACTCTATCAAAACGGCCACGGGCACCCAGCCCCTGCAGCCACCACAGACCACCCAGCCGCCCAAGGAGAGCACATAGTCCCAGCCCCAGCCCGGCACAAGAGCACAATGTCACAGTGACCGAGACCCCGGAGGACTCTCCCAGGCGTCCCTTTTGAAGAAGGAAAGTGGAGGAGGCCAGAGAGCGAGCCCGGTCTTTCTGCCACCCTCCCCCTTTCTCGTACGACACTTTCGAAGGGACGTTGTTTAAACTGACCTGGTTTGTGTCGAACACCTGTGTCTGAGCTTCTTGGAAGGCCATGTTCACATCCGTTCTAGTATTACGCATTATTTTACATGCCTGACATTTAGTTGGAAATAAGTAATTCAGAACTAAATGCTTTTTATTGAGAACTAACTTCATAATTGTTTTTATCTTACGTAAAAATGAAGATGTCTTTTACTCCAAGGTTGAAGTGATGGAAAGATACTTGTCACAGGCAGAAAACAAGTGGAAACCTGAAACTCCCACCTTTTCAGGACTCCTTCAGATAAAGCACACAGCGGAGCCGGCCGGGGCCGCGCTGGGCAGTGTCCTCCCGACGGGGGCTCCTGGCCGGCGGGTCCTGTCGGGGGGGGGCGGGGGGTGCGCAGACCTGGGGTCGAATGGGCCCCAGAGACAGTTCGAGTGTTTCACTTTCTGTTGGGTGCACCTGGAAACAAAGTGCCAAGAACCCCGGGAGAAGGTGGGCTGTTGAGGAAGGGAACTGAGATTTTGAAGGAAGGGAGTAAACGAAGGAAGAACTGCATCACTTGGGCACTGGCGTTCTCACAGGTCGTCCTGAGGGCTCCGCACAGGAACTGCGAGGACCTTAGCAGGACCACAGTCGGGCGTCGGGCAGACGGGAAGCCAGAGTGGGCACCTGGAGTCACGGCCGTAGGACGCCGTCGCCAGGGGCGCCTGGACAGACCCACCTGGACAGACCCAGGCGCCTCTGGCCTGTGTCCGCAGCGGATTCCAGGACCGGGGACAGAGTGTGTCGTTAGTGTCGGCTTGCACTTGTTAAAGGAAACACGAATGCACTGTAACTTTGCTGAAGTTACAAAACACGAAATCAAAGCTGGCTTCCCGTCGTCTTAATGTTAGGCAACCTTTCCTGATTTCTCCGGCTCCCCCAGAATAGGCCCTCGGTACCCCTAGACGAAGAGACGCAAGTGCATTGGTGACATTTTTGATGGAATATGAAACCTTTATAGAAATACTTATCTCGTGGAAGGGTGAAGAAAGCTATTTAAAAGGTGATGGAAATATTTTTTCAATTATATTTCTCATATCTATATCAGTAGCCCACGCAGGAAATCCTTTGGTAAGGGCAAAACGAATGTCCCCGTCTTCTAAGCTCCTGTGGAGGCCTTCGGTCTTGCCCGCCAGCCCCACTGCCGTCAGGTACATACGGCGGCATTGCTCACGCTCCTCCTTGGCTTCCGTGGTGAACATATTCTGTTCTTTTTTATTACCGTTGTCCACTTGTCCCCATTCCCCCCTCGACGTTCCCCTGCCCTCCCCCCCGCCTCCCGCCTCTCGGCGAACACATTCTTTGCAGAGGACCTGCAACCCCGTAGAGCCGGGGTGGGTCCCATCGGAGCCCTGGGTCACAGCTGGGACTAACACAGTCCCGGGGAGAAGAGTCCAGGAGCAGCGCCCCGACCCCAGGAGCGCGCACTGCGGGCTGCTTCCCTTTCAAGTGACCCTCAGCCTCTGAGAAGTCACTTCGTTGGCGTTCACGTCCTTTCCAACCCGTAAGACTGACAGGGTTGCCTGTCACCCTTTTGTCACACTCACCACGTGATGTTGTACTTCCTCACCTAATTTGTTTCGGTCCCGACATCTTTCACTGTTACGTTCATTTTCTTTACCAAAAATGAAAGTCAGCCAGCGTTCCAGTGTCCACATGGATTTTAACATCCCCTCCGTGGTGGTTCAGAAAAGCTCAATTTTTTTCTTGTAAAATATAGCGGCTAGAGAATTGCATCTTGGTACTCGTTTCTACAAATCATTAGTATAATTTGTTAGCTTTACTGATACTTACACTTTTATTCCAGGAAGCCTTGTACAAGGTGCCTTATCAAATGGCCAGCTGAGTTAAAGATTCTTGTGCTTTGTGAATCTTACAGCTCCACTGTACGGAGTTCTTTTTAACTTCCAGAAATCGGCACATTCCGCAGAACGCCTGAGCTCTTTTCCTGAAGTGGCGGAGGGGGGAGCAGAATGGCCCCAGGTCTGGTCCTTACCTGCACGCCCGGCGCAGTTTCATAGCCTCTTACCTTCTTCTCATATAAAATCTCCAGGTGTATACGTTCCAGATGTTTAATAAATCAGTTTTTGCCTTTCCTTTTGACTTTTTCAAAGGGTCGTAAGGGTCATCTATAGATTTTTTTCCTCGTCCAGTTCCATGTCACACTTGAGTGTGTTTTGACACCATCAGCCTGGGCTGTCCTTCAGTGCAGTGCCTGTGGGCCCGAAAATCCAAAGCATGGTGTAGGTGAGAGTTTCCACGCGGTCTGTCATAATAGCGTCACCCGACCACGTGCCCTTCTCCGTGTGTGGTTGAACGCTCGTGCATCCCAGCATTAACTGCTAGTTCTAATTTCACTCATTGGGAAATACATTTGAGAATTGCTACTCCAATCTTGATTCCTTTAGAAAGAGATTAACCAGCCCAAATATCCAGAAAATTTTCAGATACGTATTCTACAATGTTTTTCATCTTTTCCTAGAACACCATTGTTGTAACACTCCAGAAACCCAACATTTGCAGTTCTGAAAAGAGATTATTTCTCTTCTTATTAAATTCTGCAAAATAAATTAAGGGAATGAGCTTCAATTTGATTATTCGATCCATGAGCTTTTATATCTTGAAAATCTCATTTAACACATTCCTTTAAGCTGGCTTTTGAAAGAAACCAAGCTGGATTTTTCAGTGCATATGTTTGCTGGCTTCCCACATCCTGAGCCATGGAGCAATTTGGTTATATTTAGTTACATACGATTCAGTGCAGGGAAACAAACTCTCAGTTGCCTAATGCTCGCATATGAGCGCCCATCAGAACACTAGTAGGTGGTCATGCAGGCCTGTGGCCTGTCCCCATGCAAGCCAAACTCTGCCTTCCTCTCTCCCGATACTAAGTTGGCAGTTTCTTCCTCATGGGCTTTCTCAAACTTCCAAAATAAAGCAGAACAACAATCTTTGCACTGATGTTGGAGTATTTAATCATATTTATCTTGTTTCATTTCTTCAAAATGTTCATTCTTTTATATATACACTATGTGTTATTTATTTTTCTCACATTACTACTCCATTTCTTAAAATACTTTCCAGTTACTGTATTTTTAGGACTATAAGACACACCTAGGTTTTAGAAGAGGAAAATGGGGGAAAAAAGTTTGAAGCAAAAAATGTGGTAAAATATTTAATAACATAAATAACATAGGCCACCTCCCCCCAACCCCCAACAAGCCAGGTAAGCTACATTCGGACTATAAGACCCATCCCCTTTTCTTCCCAAATTTGGGGGGTGTGTCTCATAGTCTGAAAAATACAGTAATACCTAATGGCTTCATTTCCTAGCTAAAGTGAGGAACACAAGAGAATACACAGTTCAGGGCCCAAGAGATGAGAAATCCTTAAAAGGGTCAACTAGTTACTGCAGATGAGACTCGGTATGTATCTGACGGAAGGGGCTGAGTTATCTTTTGTCTTTGGCTGAAATCAGTGTGCTAACTTCTGCCAAGATGGTTGTCTGATTTCAGGACCCCCCAAAAGGAGCTCTTTAAAAAAATTAAATTCCTTGTTTGTTTTACCTCTCTTGGAAAGAGTACTTTTACTTACTTAGCAAGCTGATTCTATTGTATAACTTTTCAAAGTGGCTTTTAAAAAACTTTTGATTCTCGTGCTTCAGTTACAGGTAAACGAGAGAATGGACACACTGTTGTTTGATCTGCACACTGTTGGGTCTGTGCACGTGGACTTGCCCAGAGCACCCCTGCCTCTCTTGTGTACCCAGGTGCCAGCGCGCCTGAGTGAGTACACACGGGATGGTCAGGGAGGGAGGGGCAGGTCACAGCCGGGGGCCTGGCCCCGACCGGGGTGCTGCCCGGTGAGACACTCCTGCCCCCTAGTGGCCCTGCTCACGGTCGCACTGAGCTAGAGCTGCGCCACAGCACCCTTCCTCTGCCGCAGTGGCTTCCGTGCTATAAAGGCAAAGCTTTTTACCATAGGAATTTCCTTATTTTTCAAAAGCTACCAAATGAATACTCCAGTGTGGGCTGCACCTCAATAAGAGATGATCTTGAGTTGTAATGAGGAAAGTGGGTGTTTACGAGTTTTGACTGCAGTTTCAGCGGTCAGGAGCGCCCTTCTCAGCTTCCGTGTGCGGGACCACATGTCCAGCGAATCTGCAAGTGGATCTGCTACCTGCTGTAAAAACATCTTCATCCACACGTCCCACTCTCCCCACCTCCATCCCACGTTCATCATCAGCGGTAGTCTCCAAATTTTGGTACAAAAGAATCATTGAGTAGAAAATGAACATTTTCAGTTACTTTTTCTTTGCACTAAGTTAACATTTGAAATCTTTTCCATTGAAATGTAACATAACTATATATTACATATGGAATAAAATATAGGAAACTGGATTGGAAGGATATAAAAGGCATCAAGACTCTGGGGTCATGAAAACACAAGAATGAGGCTGGAGATGGTCCCAGAATCCAGGATGTCCCAATAGCCTTTTACACCAGTTTCTCTATTTTTGGTATTTTGCATAATATATGGATTCTTTATTCAAATGAGGGGGGGGTTTCTCAGTCCCACTTTCAGCTCCTGCCTTTCCCTTGCTGAGGACATAGTACACATTCTCTACCATTTATTTTTGTGAATTGTTTCGTTTTCGTACACGGTTTCTCTAATGAAAACAGGTTCTGGGATATAGGAGTTGATTAGCGCAAACAGTGCTGATTGACTACACAAGAAACATTAGTAAGCAGCCTCACTCCTCTTTAAACACTGACCAATTAGATGTTTCCGTAATTCCACGTATTATGCATAGTACACTATAAATGTAAATGTAATGCTTGTTAAGAAAAGTGCAATTTATTGTACATTGTTCCAACAAATGTTTACTTTTATAATCGTTATGAACTTGAATTGGATTAGTATCTTGTTTTCACGTGTGAATGAAGCCTTGTGTAATAAACAAATGCAACCAAGAAGGTGACAAGGTGACTGTTCTTGTGAGCCAGTGATGTTTTCAATGCTTTGTGTTGCCCCCTTTTGCCCCTTTAAGCAGTAATAAACATTTGTTCTCCAGTCCATATATGTCTTCTCGATTTCTTTCTGGTTGATTTTATTTTGAGCCCTTTGAACCCCAAGTTTCTGTTACACTTCCTATCTGACACTGGACTCCAGTCAGCGTGGGAAGAAAACGGGCGCAGGAGCTGGTCGCCCGCGCTCCCTGCAGAAGGGTGGCCTCCACAGCCCGGCTGCCAGATGTCCCATCTTCTCCTCCAGAGCCCTCGTTGCAAGTAACTAGCTCAGCAACAAGACAATTAACTAAAAGGAAACTGGGAGGTTTTGTCAAAGACACCCAATGCCAAACAGGGCCCGAACAGGCACTGGGACGAGGGGCTGGAATGCCATCGGAACCCAAGCGGCAGTTCTCATAGTCGCTCTTCCGCTTGTATCCGCTTGTATTGCCGGGCGATGCTCGTCTGTTGCTGCTTCTCGGAAAAACAAGCTTTCCCTGCTTCCAAGGGATTCGCATCTACATCTCCTCTGTTCAAGGGGCAGCAGAGGTGGACGAGCATCTCAGCGCTCCAATTTCAAAGTCTTACAAAAATCTGACAGGTCTGTTCTGCGTTTCAGTGCAACAGGTAACTCTAAAGTGTCTAGTTTGTTACGCTGTGGGACATTAATCAGTTTGTACCTAACTTTGCAACCTTACGCTAACATTCCACGGGCAAGTTGCCTAGTGAGTCCCCAGCTGTGCAAATGCACTTTGATAGTTTTAACATACTATTGGTCGCAATGAAGATTGGTCACGTGTTCACTTCTATTTGCATGAGTCTTGATTTCAGCTTTTTGAAATAATATTTTAACAAAACTATTTTTAGTTTTTTTGAGGATATGTTTATTGACAGACAAACAGCCATGATAGGAGGCCAACGTATCGCCTCCCACATGCGTTACAGCAGGAACACAACTGCAACCTACAGGTGATCAAACCGCGACCTTTCCGTTACTGGTGGCGCCGTCACGTGGCCAAGGCAACCCTGCGCGGCCCCTGAGGACGCCACCACGTCGCAGAAGCTAAATCGTTGATGACGTATCCCGATAGCCAGAACCCACTGAAAATCAAACTGTTGTCTTCAGGTCCTCCTTACTACACGTCTTCGCTCTTTCCCCTTTTAAAAACATATAAAGGCCGCCCCTTCTCCTTTTGTCCTTCTCTTGCACACAATCACTGATTAGCCTCAGGCAAGATGGCTGCATAGCCGGCCCTTCTACTACACGGGACGGAAGTAGCCGACTCTGTCGTCCACTTCCGACTTGGATCCGGAAAACCGGGACGTCGCTTCCGGGGTTCCGGAAAGTCCGCAAAGGCAGCGGCTCCGAGTTGCGACTGCGCAGCCGGAGCAAATGAGGTCAAAGCGTAAGTCGACTGTAGTCGGTGCGGAGAGGAAGTGACGTCATTCCTCTCGCGAGAGTTGAGCGTTGCTAGAAGGCTCGGCGAGCGGGGCGGGCCCGGGGAGGCGGGTGGTGCTGGGGGACGGGGCTGTGACGCTAAACTCGCGAAGGTTCTAGAGGCGCCGCGCACGGTAGGCGGGCCGCGGTGTCGCGCAGGGCAGGCGGTGCGCACGGGCCGCGGGCGCTGCGAGTCGTGCGGGTCTTGCGGATCGAGCGGCGCGACGTTTCCTGTTTATTCCCCCCGCGGGGCTGCAGCTCGTGCCTTGCCCGGCCCGGCCCAACCCGACCATGGCTTCAGCTGTGGAGGAGGTAAGGGTCCCGCCTCATCTTCCTCCGTCGGCCTTGCGGGAGCTCCTCGTCGCGATTCGCGCGCTGTCCGCCCTGCGGCCGCCTCCCTCCGTGGTCGCTCCCCGCGCTCGCCGGGGCTCGCACCCGGCGCCCTTGCAGCGGCCCTGATGCTGAACGGCCCCCTGCGGGCGCCGGCTTCCGCGGGAAAGTTGCCGATCGCCGCCGCCCGGCCCCGCCGGGGGTCCCGCCCGGCACGCCGTGCGGCTGAGCCGGGTGTGTCCGGGTTTGGTGGTGCGGCCGGCGGACCCAGCGAGCCGGTCACTTTCCCGCGCCCGTCGTACTAGCGCGGGGACGTGAGGTTTCGTTCTCGTGGGACTGATGGCAAACCCCGAGTGTCACTGCGGGGTGGAGGGGGGCGGTTAGCCGGGAAGCCTTGGGTCTCAGCACTTGATTCTCTCAGGCGTGTTTTCTCCGCACACGCGAGTAGCCGCGGGGTTTGGGACACGTTGTTGGGTTTCTCTGAGCCACAGGAGCACCCGTGCCGTGGGGTTAAGGGCGCCAAGTATCGGTTCTTTGTATAACAGTGCCTGGCGGACCCCAGTCTGCTCTGTGCGTTGAAAGAAATTGGGAAGTTAGTTAACCTAGCGGTGGGCATGGCCTTTTCCTCTTGTGAGAGCTCTAATCTCTGAGCAGGGGCGGCTTGGCTTTGGGGGGCTTGGGCGGTCACGCCCCGGGCGTGACAGTGCCTGGTCGCCCTTTCCCTGGTCTAAGTGGAATGTCGGCATCCCTGGAAGTCTGTTCCCCGGTGTGGCCGAGGCTGGGGACTCTCAGGCGGGACTTTCTGAGTCTCATGGTCTGCTTTAAGTGGGAAGCAGAGGTGCGTGTGTAAGGTCTCGGTCTGGGTGACTTGCCACCCGAGGCCCACGGTGCCGCGGGCCGAGGAGATGATCCCTGCGGTGACTCCGCGGCCCTTCGTCCTCTGCAGTGAGTAAGGACTCGTCGGTGCAGGTACGTAAATCCACATTGAGGGACGCCGCTGGGTGTTTGTCTTGTTTGTGATAAAATTCAGTTTCTGACCCATGGAAAGGGTATACAAGTCAGTGCGTTTTACTGTGTTCCGCGTTCAGCGATCACCACCAATTCCGGAACATTTTCATCAGCCCCCAGAGAAACCCCCGGGGTCGATTGAAGAGCCTCCGCCCCCGCGCGCCTCCCCCGGCAGCCTCCGCCCCCGCTGTCTCTGGGCGTTTGTGGTGCAAAGGGAAGCCCACGCTAGGCGGCCTCTGCCTTTTGGCTCCTTTTCACTTAGCGCGATGTCCCCGAGTTCATCCGCGGTGTGGCGCGTGCTCCTTTTTGTGGCGGGACAGTAT